AGCTCCACCAACAGACTCAAAAACTCTTTCGTCCCCCTGGCCATCAGACTGTACAACAGCTCTTAGTCAAGGCAGGGAGGACAATAGACAATGGACAATTTCTACCTTCATTTGCATCAAATTGCACTGTTTACTTCAGTTTACTTCCATTTGCACTCCCCTCCATTGCACTGGTTAACTGTAGCTACTACACTTACTACTTACTAACTAGTGAGCCCGGTCTCCGGGCCTAAATGTAGTCTTTTTCGTGTGTGTAACGTCAGACAGCTCCTGCGTCCTCATTGGTGCATTGATAAGATTTACTCCTTAGGTATCGAAATTTGGTTCCATGCCATTTGTTGATAGTTCAGTACCCAGCGGTATACACTGCATCCTTTCTCATGTTCCCTGGAAAAATAAAACGTAATCTTTCTTAACTCTAAGCACTTGTAGTTGTAGCACTGAACATGCCTTTAGTTATTGGATACATCCCAGCTGATATGGATGATATCAAGCTCTTGCCCCTCCGTTGTGCGAATGCAGTTGTGAAATGAATTTAACGTAATGAAGCAGGTGGAGGTTGCAGTTCATGCTCTGACCAGCACGCCATCTTCCTGTTTGTCCTTGATTGAGTAACTTTGCGTCCTCTCTCCTCCTACAGTCATCCAAACCCGGTATGTCCAGCTGACAGGGAGCCTCTATTCAAAGACAAGGTGGGCAGGAAGTGACATCACAGCAGAGATTGTGTCATGTCATTAATGATCAGATTATTGATCAGTTACTGAAGCTCCTGTGTTTGTGCTTCAGATCTTCAGAGACGTTTGCTGCCATCGGGAGATCATGGCGCTGAAGGTCTACTGTCGCAGTGAAGCTAACGGCTGTCAGGAGCAGATGAGTCTGCAGCAGATACCTGTGAGAAAAACAACATATATAAATCCTATATATTCACATCTCATTCTAGAAACAATGAACGTAAAGATGATGACCAGTATAAATGATATCAGGAAAACTCTCTGTCTGTCTCTCACCTGTTTGTCTGTCTGTAGGACCACCTAAATGTGTGTCCGTTCTTCGAGGTTCCCTGTCCGTTGGGTAAATGTAAAGAGCGAATGATGAGGAAAGAGATTCCCGACCACCTCAGCTGGAAATGTAAACACAGAGAAACCAGCTGCGAGTTCTGCATGACCAAGATGCCCATGACCGACCTGCAGGTATCTCATGACATGATCATTGCTAATATCACTACTGAGCGGCTAGCATGTAGGCTAGCTCCAGAGATCTAGAGACTAGTTGCCTAGTTGTAGAGGTCAGGGGATTGGTTGCTGCAGAACGGGGGTCTTTGCTGTCCAAGAGACAGAGAATCGATTTAAGAAGACTTGAAAGTTTTAGAGGGAAAAGGATTGATTGGACACTTAATCAGTTTTCCTGTGGTTCCTGCACCGCTTCTTAACAATTAACAATGAGGAAGCAACGGAGCGCAAGAAAGCAACAAGTTTTGTCAGCCTTGTTTTTCTAATTCTGAACTTGAGCTTTAAGTTTTTGTTATGATGGCGGTGATGATCATGATGATGATGATAATGATGATAGATAGATAGAGTTTCTGTTTGTTTTCAGAAACACAAAGAGACGGTTTGTCCAGCATTCCCAGTGTCGTGTCCAAACCATTGCTCCTTCTCCTCCCTGCCCCGCAGTGAGGTACTGATCCAGTTTATCTTCTGCCGTCTAGTCAGACCGTGGTTTAGTTTATCTCTGTGTCAGTGTGTTCACAGTGGCAGCAAGTATTGATAATTGATTGGTTTGTATTTCAGCTGTCCAGTCATCAACACGACTGCCCCAAAGCTCAGGTGAGCTGTCAGTTCCACCGCTATGGCTGCACCTTCAAGGTAACTCCTCATCGCCTACCTCTACTACTACTTCTGTTTCTAATTCTTAGTATGAATGTACCAGTGTGTACTGTATGTACTTTATATACTGCGTCAATGTTTTCACTGTATGAACTGTGTTTTATTGTGATTCAGGGTTTGAATCAGGACATGAGGCAACATGAGTCCACCTTCGCTGCTGAACACCTGAGAATGATGGCTAACAGAAGTTCCACGTTAGAGAACAAGGTAACCATAAACCAACCAATCAGAGGTAACCATTACAGCAGGTCTGATGTGTGAGTTGACCTAAATTGATCTTTTATACTTCAGGTGGAGGATGTTAAAGGTGAGCTGTTAGAGAGGTATAAGGTGCTACCTGCTCTTAGCAGTCGTCTGTCTGAACTGGAGAATCAAAACGATGAGCTGAGAGAGAAGAACCGACAGATGGAGCAGAAACTGGCCACCATGCAGGTAATACTAACACACTGATTCTACTAAGGCAAGGCGAAGTGGGTTAAAAGTCCATAAAAATGTGAACAAAACATAAAAATTAAGTTGATAAGAAAAGACTGTGAGTGTAACCTGCACAACATGGATCATGTGTTTGATTCAATGTAACTGCTAAAATATACATCTGAATCCAAGACAAAAGCCCTGAAACACAGTGTTTATAGATAAAGAGTGAAGGGGTGCAGTGACAGAGTTGAAATCATCTCTCTCTTCCATAGAAACTAATGAGCACTCACTCAGAGAAGCTCCTGGAAGTGGAGCTGGAGCTTCGTTCTCTCCGTGTACTCAGAGACGAGGTGGAGAATCTCAGAGGAACGATGGAGAACGTCAGAACGAGACTCAATGCTCTGGAACAAGGGGGACGCAGCGGGACCGGATCCACAACACACACTCTGGGTGAGAACGCAGACACACTAGGGACCAGCGGCAGAGGTCTGGGGACTAGTTGCAGAGGTCAGGGGACTACTATATGTCGGGGAACTTGCACACATTAGATTACTAACTCAATAATGAATAACTCTCTACAGCATCCCTGGAGACTCAGCTAAATCGACACGACGACATGCTGAGTGTCCACGACATCCGATTAGCCGACATGGATCTGCGATTCCAGGTGCTGGAGACAGCAAGTTATAATGGAACTCTGATCTGGAAGATTCGTGACTACAAGAGACGGAAACAAGAAGCAGTAGCAGCGAAGACACTGTCGCTGTATTCACAACCATTCTACACCGGGTACTTCGGGTACAAGATGTGTGCCCGTGTCTACCTGAACGGAGATGGCATGGGCAAAGGGACACACCTGTCGCTGTTTTTTGTGGTGATGAGGGGCGAGTATGACGCCTTGCTGCCCTGGCCCTTCAAACAGAAGGTACTGACTGTTTACTCTCTGGTTTACTGACTACTTTGCTAACTGGTTGCCCACTGATAAAGGTCAGTTTGCCTGACCCGCTGCCCTGGGACCTGACTGGCTTTACTGGCGCTTTATCAGTGTTGGGCCCAAGCTACTAGCTTTGCCCAAACACTGATGACCAGGCCAGTAAACCAGTGCTGTGGGGGTGTGGGGGTGTGGGGGACCCCCTTTGGGATCAATTCCTTTCCGTCCCCACCCTCTGCCACCTTTTCATCAAGTAAACTCAAGCTTGTGTGTCTGTGTCCCCCTTCAGCAGAATATAAAGGGGATTGGGACGTGACAGCACCGTCATACCAAAGTGCTTCTGTCGACTCTGTATGGCGGGGGTGTCACTTACTGATCCTTAGCAGTTTTATTTCAGACCACAGCAGAAAGCACTGCTGCGCTTAAGTTTCAGATATGTTTGGGAAAATGTAGCTTGTGTGGACACTATTTGATCAATTGATCAATGAAAGCACTATGCTACTGTAAAGCTTATACAACAGTGGCACGACCAGCCCACTACTGAGAAATGTAGTTAAACTAGTAATGCTGCTACTTGTAGCGCCACTACTGCCCAACAGTGCAGGTTACTGATAGAATACATTAAATATTCTGTATTTCTGACTTTCTGTTCGATGCTAACAGACCCGTCTCTCTCTCTGCCTGTCTGTCAGGTGACTCTGATGCTGATGGACCAGGGTCCATCGAGGAAACACTTGGGTGATGCGTTTAAGCCTGATCCAAACAGCAGCAGCTTCAGACGTCCTGCAGCAGAGATGAACATTGCCTCCGGCTGTCCTCTTTTTGTGTCTCAAAGCGTCCTGGAGACCGGCAGCTACATCAAAGACGACACCATCTTCATCAAGGTGAGTACACATCACCTGCTACTGCTGTTCCTCTTGTTGCTCCCATTCTGCTGCTTTTCATCACATTACAGTCTTTAAGCAGAAACTTTTGTCTAAAGTAATGGACCATAGGGACTTTCAAACTCAATTCATAAGACGTAGGTGTGAGGACTAGTTGCAGAGGTTTGGGGTGTTTTTGGTTTATAAACTAATCAATAGCTGTGTTGTTTGGTTTGATCGGCAGGTTACCGTGGATACCTCTGACCTTCCTGACCCGTGACGTTGCAACCCCCCTGACCTCTGACCTCGCTGGTCTGAGATCAGCTCACCTGTCCACACCACGGAAGAGCAAAGGATGATGGGAAGGATCAGTGACAATGGAGGAGGCTCGTCTATCTGAGAGTGCAGACAGTAGAAGAAGAGTCAGACAGGAAGCAGCCAATCAGAGTGAACTTTACAGAAACCGGAGGGCGGGTCCTCCTCTGATTGGCTGATGGACTCCAGAACTGTGTGTGTGTGTGAATGGATCAGTGTTACCATGCCATCTCCATGGTGATATCACTCAGAGCCAACATGGCTGCCGCAACCAGAACATTGTTGTTGCTCATTACTGATGCCGTGCATCGAGCTTTACTTCCTGTTTATTACCTGTTTACCAAGGCATGCTGGGAAATCCACTACGGCCACAGAGGATCCCACAAAAACCAGTGAAGACCCGTACAGACCAGCAGGATCCAGTACAGACACTTTTTCTAGTGAAAAGCAGGAGAGACCCAGTGCAGACCAGCAGAGACCTGTAGGACCCGGTCCAAACCAAAGTATCTAATCTAACCAACATTAATGGTCTAATGAGGCTTTAACTCCTAACTAACAAATGTTTTCAGTTTATATGATTGATGCCAAACACAGCAGTGAGACCGGTTTCAGTGAGACCGGTTTCAGTGAGACTGGTTTCAGTGAGACCAGTTTCAATGAGACCGGTTTCAGTGAGACCAGTTTCAGTGAGACCGGTTAACCTCTCAGTGGACTATAGTTGTATTGTTTTAAATCAACCTGACTGATTATCTGAAGACTGACGTTACGGGTCCAAATAACCTGATCTGATGTTAAACTGACCTGAAAAAAACTTGAAGAATTAATTTAAATAAGAGATCCAGAAGTGACTGTAGAATGATTGATAGTTCGTATCTGACTACAGACCAGTACAGACCAGTACAGATCAGT